CTTCTACAGTACTCACCTTGCCTTTTTTCTACCTTTGTATCTGTCTCTGANTTCTGAAAAATGAAGCACTTCACTTACATCCTCGCCGTAAATCATAGTGTTTTCTGGAAGTTGTTCAGGCGCTGTTAGACTACACATTGCTCCGACTACACAGCCATTAGAGATACGAACACGTGGACCGACGTAACACTTGGATTCAAAGACATTGCTATTACCGACTTCGCGACTGTATACACGAGCTCCAACCTGTGAAAAACAAATTCAAGTGCATAAATTGCAGATATCTGAAAACCAACAATCGTAGATGTCTATGTATGGCAAAATGGGATGTGCGATAGACTTACCTCCACGTGGTGCACCCTGGGCAACGTATACTCATACGGCAAAAAAGTCTATTAACCGGCATTTGGCTTCCGACTTCAAACTACCATGACCCCACTGTATGTCATATTCGACCCCTTTCACAGTACTCATCTCATCTTTTTTTCTACCTTTGTGTCTGTCTGCCACTTTTACATCTGTGAATGGCTCTTCTGTTCCCCACCCACCGACTATCTTCTAATTTGATGAACCTTCCCTCTGTGAAGCCCGAAGTTAGCTAAATGGCTAATGATAGCTATCAAAACGCCTGCCATTTGAAATAAATAATGTATGGCAAAATTTTAGAATAGAATAGGACAGAGCTACTACTCGAAGAAGGCTGTTCACGCAAAGTCGGATACAACAAGCCCGAGGAGAAGAACGCGTGGTATTTTTTGTTTAATAGGCCAGCATTCCAGCTGCTCTATGAATTGAAGAGAAAAATTTTGCGTGACCAAGACCTTGAGAAATAAGCCTTACAAGTAGTATCTAGGGAAAGCATATTTGCGCTGCCAAAGAGGGGCAAATGTAGCCTCGCACACTCTCTTAGCTTCAATCCACCATGTACAACAAAAGCCATGCATCTCTTGTCCAACTCGTAGAATTTGGTATACGATCTTTTAAATAAATTTACTTATTTAACTTTGAAAAAAGGAAACAGTAAACGGAGTATCGATTTCTCCTTGGCTACATTGTGCTCATTTTCATTTTACTCAAATATCTGTCCATAGATGCTAAAAATTTCGAAAGTCCGATTCCATTAAAAAAAATTACTGCGAGATACTTGAAAAAGGCACGAATGAATAATATTATTAGGGTTCACATTGAATAAGCTCAGTCATTCTAAAATACTCATTAATGATTTCAATTACACAAGCAAATGAGCATTATTGTCTACTTTTTATGAACAGGGAATAGTGCCAGATGAACAGAATCCGACGGATAATACTAACCTCTAAATGAAGAAACGGTATGGGGTCAAAATGAAATCAACATAAGTGAAATCGTGTACCAACGTGAAAATAAATCCCTGCAATGGATAATCTTTACTAGAATATACCGATTCAGCCACATAAGTTCGAATTAAACCACAGCATATCAAAACAACTCATTGTTTGAGCTCAAAACCCAACTTGGAAAAGAGATATAAATAATGATAATAATGAACTGACTCCCACTAACCTCAAACACATTGAAGTCTCCAATAATGAGAATTGTATTCGGTGCATCATTAACAATCTCCACTTGCTCCTCTATCAAATTCGACTCCCCAATTCGAATAGGTCCAGCACGAGCCAGTATACGGGCCTTTGGGTGGATCACAGTCCGAGTTCCGACAATGATATCACCTTGGAGATCACATTCACTCGATACCACGGCGCCCGGCGCTATAGTAACATCCTTCCTCGACATTCTAACTGGAATGAAGACAGTAAAATTAGGTTATAAATGACAAATGGATAGTAACCAATTAAAGACGTCAGACATTTGTAAGGAAAATAGATATATTTATACAGTAATGAGATAATTCGGAAAATGCAAATGATACCACTCTGAATTTGAGAGTATTAGGTATTTTTTTAAGACTCAGTGACAATTCAAATGGTAAGAAGGGAGAAGAATATATATCAGATTATAGCAGAAGATAAGTACAAAATAGGTGTTTTCGAATTGGAAGGTGAAATCTAATGAGTAAATGCAAAAAGGTAGAATGAAATGAATAAATACTGATCTTAATCTACATTTCACTGTAAGAAGTCGTTATGCTCAGATTCCTCTGAATCACTTTCCGATTGTTCTGAAGGTCGTTGACTTCTGAGGAGAGAAGTTTTTGCAGACGGTACTTCTTTGGAATCCTTAGGTTCTAGCCCTGTAGAAGGTCGTTTAGGGGCTAAAGATTTCTTGGTTTCAACTTCTATGAAATCATCATCCTCTGACTCATCCACGCTGGTTTCAGATTCCCCAGAAGGATGTCCTCGTCTTTTGCGTGGTCTCTTGGTGGGGATTGGCTTTTTGGATGTTCTCTTGACGGCGACAACTCGTTTGGACCTGGTTGACTTTTGTTGAGTTGGTTTTGCAAGATCGCTGGCATCAAGAAGGCGAGAGAAGACAGCATTAGAGGAAACTAGAGGCTTCCAACCTGAAGAATCGCGTTCTCCTGATGTGGAAGCAGAGCCCATTTTAATATCCCCCACTGAAACGAGCTAAATGATAGATGAAGCAAAATTATAATAAATGTACAGCAAGAATTCATAAATTTCTTACATACACTGAAAAAAAAAGAATTCATTAGTCAAGCCAAGAGACAACTAAAGTGCAAGAAACACCCAGAGAAACTCAGAGTGACGCGTTTTTCAAAAAAAACATTCCCTCACTGAAAATAGCATTAATATCAGCAAAAAAAGAGCATCACCACCGTCTAAAGCAGACAAGATTGAAAAGGCGATTCAATAATAGTGCTAAGCATCTTAGAAAATATTTCAGAGAACTGGTTTTCTATCGTTTACTTTGCATCAATGTATTGGCCAAATACAGGAGGGAGCAGAAAATCTACGAAACGCACCAAGACTAATACAGCGATTAACTCAAAGATCAACTCACCTGCATTCACTATCTCAATTCGCCAGTTTTTACAGCTCTCTTAATATTTTGTTCTCCGGCCATATGCAAGTTTCTGTCTACACTATTAAATTATTGCAAAATTCTGAAAAGTAGCCCAGTTGGATAGAAAAGGGCAATTACACACGGACCAACTCAGAGTCAGAAATTTGAGATGTCTTTATATGCCTCAAGAAAAGGAGGAAGTGGAAGGGTGAATATTGTCGATGTCTCACCTTTGTATCACCCTGTCTTCAATTCTTATCAATCGTATCACTTCGGGTTCATCGATTTTTTTTAACTATAATTGTTCCACCTAGCCCGAAAGTACATCTGTACCAAATCTCTTAGATCTGTTTGTCCGAGTGCCTCCTAACAAAGCTGCCTTTGTATGTTGACTAGATCGAACGTTTTCGCCTCATCTCCTCTCCCTTCGTCCCCATACCCCACACTCGAATCTTCAATGTCGTTTCTTCAGGCTGGTGCGATAAACTTACCACTACGTGGTGCACCCTAAGCAACGCATACTCATACGGTAAAAAGTCTATTAACCAGCAGTTGATTTCTAACTTCAAACTACCATCACCCCACTGTAAGTCATATTCGACTTATTCCATAGTACTCATCTCACCTTTTTTCTACCTTTGTGTTTGTCTCTTACATATTTGAAACACTCTTCTATGCCCACCCCTCTCGACTTCTTTTTCACTTTGATGTTCCTTCCCCTCTGTGAAGCCTGAAGTCAACTACATGGCTAATGATAACTATCAAAATGCCTGTCATTTGACATAAATAAAGTTCTTATAATCTTTTCAAAACAGGAGAGTGAGATTTACCATTAAGGTCAGGCAAACAAAACGTGTCTGAAACCTGTTTGAGTGGCCACATTTGTGTGACTTGTTTGAACAAGTGAACAAGAGGGATAGATAATTGAGCGGTAAAGTACCTTTTTAAAATGGGCAGCATGGCGTTAGGATATGAAGTTAGTATTCTAAAAGGTGGAGACAATGTCAAGTGAGCTAAATCATTCATGA